TGCAGCTCCTGCAATGCCAACAATGACAGCCATGCCAACCATGCCAGGTTAAACCTTTTTATTGAGTTTACCCTGTTAATTCAGAAAATACAGACCACTCAAAATTTTACATAGAACCTATTTAACACCATGTTAATGACAGAAAATGAAATAAATGGCACACTTACTGCATGAACATGCTATATTCTTACTAGTGTTGGTAGGCTGAACATGAGGCTTCCAAGGATGTGTTGAGTACTTGGGCGATGGAAAGTGAACCTTTGTGTCAGTGCTTGTATCATTTAGAAATAGACTGAACCCAAAGACTGTACAGCAAATACAGTTTTTAAATAAAAATGGTTAGTTCCCCCCTTTCCCTGCTCAGTATTCACCACACACACTGAGCAAATATTGTTTATGAAGAATATTGCCATTTTCCCACCTTCCATGTCTGTACAGTCACAGAAACTGTCTTCTCACCAGTGACATACAGTCAGGGGAGGATCTTGAAGAGAAAAAAAAAGTTAATCATAACATATAATAAATGTTAATATTTGTCAGCTGGTATGGATTATAAACCCTTTTACCATTTGAATCCAATATTAAAATCATGTTTTTCAATAAAGAATAGCAGAATTTCCGTATGTCCCGTTCAACTACAGGGAGGAGATGCGCCATGAGGCAGCACTTGGCTGTGCCGCTCAGTGGGTCGTGTAATCCTCACAAACTGTATGCGATGCAAATAGTGTTTCGCTGTCCCTCTATATATCGCAAATAAAATGCTTTCAAACATTCTGGTTATATGCTCTGCCTTTCCATAATCTGGATAATGTATAAAATGTAGTTCTGTAACGTGTTTAGGCTCGCAGATTAATCATAAAACCCAGTAAAAAAGTTACTCGGTGAGGCAAACAGTACCCCTGCCTCATGGCAGAGGGCACTAGTGAGCCCACAGATTCTTGCGCTACCTACAAACTTCTTTGTTCTTGTTTATGCTTCCTTTACAATCCGCCTTATCAAAATGGAAGATTACATTTCCAAGATGAGAAAATTCGCAAAACTGGATTTTCAATCAAAACAAGAGGTAATAACTAAAGGAAGACCAACGCCGGAGCTGAAAGGTTTGCTTCAGACCACGGGAAAGAACCTTACCCGTTCTTTTCAAAGGAGTGGTACACCCAAAAAACTTTTATTATTTCTAGTTTGAAATAAACTCAATGGGAATAACTTTTAACCTCAAATGAAATATGCGTCACATGCTTGTGTGAAGAATGCTGGTATGAGATATAAAACATAACGCATTGTCTGTTGTCAATCACATGATGAATAAAATACTGTTTTGGGTTCATTTGTATTTGTAAATCTGACTCTAAAAAGAGTCAGTGCCTCACCAGCTGTCAACCTCACCACACGTCACTGCTTCTCACACGTGTATTAGAGACAACTTTCCAGAATAAGCTGTGAGTGTTTTGTTTATATTAACAATAATATAATAGTCTACAATCTATTGTATTGGAGGCCCATTAGGCTAGTCATATTTCTGAAGGTAAGAACTTACACAGTGACATGTCACATACCTGTGAATTTTTAAATCATTAATTCATGTATTACAGAGAGAGGCAACAATATTACAAATGACATAGGATTTGTTTCTTATTTTTGAAGAAACGCTCTCAGTCTTTTAACCTATAACAAACATGAGTGTGAGTCCTGCTGCTTTAGTTTATTTCTGCAAATTCCTGTGGTAATTTCTTTTCAACACTAGGCGGTTTCATGATCACTGGAAGTTTTGACACCACTCATTTTTGCTTCAAATGGCTGAAAAGCTTCAATCCTTAATTTCCATCACTGCTGATTACTTGTCATCATTAAATGTGCAGATTTCTTACTGCCCAGCTATTTGTCCCACAGTAACTATGTGCATTTTTTTGTAGTGTAACTACCACCTTAATAAACTGGAATATAAAGAAAAAGTATGTAATACTGTATGGAACAAAATTATATTAGACATGGAATTCCTGAAACACAATAAGAACATGTACATTATATTTAGTAAAGAGACACATGATTTGATTTAGGAAAAAGGAAGTAGGACATACTCATTAAACTGTCCCCCAACACAACAACCAGTGCCAAAATCCCACAATATTTGCAGCATTGCATAGTGCGTGGTGAATGTCATGTCATGGTCTATTTGTGAAAATCAGAAAATGTAAATAGATAAGTAAATGCAGAGTTTCTTTGTTATGTATTTAAATGTAGCTGATTTATACCTGACAAACAATGTGTCATACACAGCCATGATGATGCCTCAGACTGCTATGCCTGCTCCTCCTCTCATTGACCCCATGCAGATGGCAGCTACACAGCAGGCCCTCATCAACCAGCAGGCCATTCTCATGGTAGGGAGAAAGACACATAGCATACTTTTTTATAGGATCATAGTACAGTTTTTTATCCTGTTCTTGCCCCTACATCACATCTGCCTTCCCTAACCCCTTCTCCTATTGCTCCTCTGATTCTGTACTTGCTCTTCTTCTTGTTCCCTCTCTTCAGGCCCAGCAGATGACCATGCAGGCATTGAGTCTGTCCCAGCAGCAGACACGGGAGCAGCAGAAGAAGCAAGAGCAACAGATGAAGAAGGAAGAGCAGAGACAGAAGGAGCAGGAGAGGAAGGAGGAAGAGAGGCAGAAGAGACGTCAGTCTGATCGATGCTCCAGGGAATGCTCATCCTCACCATCCCCTCTATCTCCATCATCACCACCTGCTCAGCCCAAAGCCCCCGCACATAAACCAACCTCCAGTTATAGGCAGCCTGAGTCAGATGTATATATTATACATCATCTTACATTGCATTAATACTGCACATGCAGTTTGTTTACTATATAGTGAAGAAAAATGAAAATACTGCACCGGTATCGTTCAGTCCTCTCAGGTGTATTTCTTCCTCTTTTGAGGTGACATCTTGTCTGTCTGTCTCTCTCCTCTGTAGCAAGAGAGAGAAGTGGACTTGTCAGATCCAGGTGATCTGCAGTCTTTTGGAGACAAGAGGGAATACTTCCAAAAGATGGGTAAGTGTCTTATTGATCAATGCAATTCTGACTAACTTTCACCCTCCTCCTCTATGGAGCTAGATCAATGACTTTAGTCTTTGGCACTGAAAAATATACCTTGGCATTGAACAAAACTGTAACTGAGAAAACAAACACTGGTACTAAATATTTCTATTGAGAAAAAAAAAAAAACACTGGAATTTTAAAAAGTACTAATACTGTGCAATAGCTCTCAAACCATTGCTTTCACTCTACTGGCACTTTTCAGCTCCAGGCAGGCCTAAAATTCATTAGCCCCATTCGTGTAACTGTATACAGACTAACTGTATGGGAGACAGTTCCAGAAGGTCCCACAGAAAGTCTCTGATAAGCAGCTGTGCACTGTTGATGTTAGTTACAGCTAACATTAGATATGTTATCTACAGCCTACCTGTAGCTAGTATGAGCGCTTGCTGCAGCAGACCACGTCAGCATAACGTTAGTTAAAAGTGAGCTTTAACATAGCTCAGTTCTGTGAGTAGAGAGAGAAACAGCAGATTGAGAGCTCCAGTTGAAGCCACTGCAGCAACTATGTGGCCATGCTCAGCAGACAGAAGCTTCAATGCAAACAGTGGCTCAGGGGAGAGGGGGGGTCCTCTCCTCATGCCAAAACAGTGACAGAAAAGTAAAACTGAAAATAAAATTGTTGGCACTGAAAAACACTGACATCATCAAAAAATCAGAAGATTTATAGTACTAATGCCTCTGTCACTATCGCATCATGTTCAGTGTTACTTGATACACATAACAGAGTTGTATGTGAAATGAGAAATTTCATTTTGATAGATGAACAAACTCCCCACTTTTCTAGTGTTGATGGTGTAAATTTTAACAAGTCACTATGTGGACTGCTGTGTTATGTCCTACACAAACTAACTGTGTAGCTTGGACCAAAATTGAGCAAAAATCGATTGAACTGAGCAAAATTACTTAATTTAAACCTGGAAAACTCAGTGGTTTATGCTAATTGTACAACAAAACACTAAAGTTGCAGTCAGTTGTAATGACTCCAAGTTACAACCAGAATGATTCAATACAAAGGTACAAATTTGAAAAGCTAATGTTAGCTTACTAATGATGCCAACATATACGTTACCAAGCTACTTACCTGTCTAGCAGAAAGACAACCACATCTGCATCATATTTAGTCCTTTGGGTGTTTTTAATGCTCTCCATCTCAGATATGCCAAA